GCTATAAATGCTTATAGCTAGGAAGCTTGTCAGCTGAAGCAGATTCCAAACAGAGGGGAAGATGTTTGCCTGTTAACTTGCTCCTCTGGGAAGGCCTTTCTCTCCTCAGGGTATTTCCCACCGCAGAGGTCGTGCTTACCTACACTAGTCTCCTCATCCCTTCCTGACCCATTGTGCTGCCCATTGTTTTATGTGTGCTAGCTTGTGTCTGCCAGGAATTGTTTCTGAGGACAAGAGAAGGGAGGGGGGAGGAAAGGAGTGAGTTCTCATTTTTTTCCTTCTGGGCTTTTTTCTCTTGTTTGTTTTGGGGTGTCATTAAGTATTCAGTCTGGCTTGTAATTCCATCCGTAGTCAGATGACATGCTTGTGGCTGGCTTAATTGGAAGCTGATGATGACTTGCTCTGAGCTGGTTTCCACAGAGGATTGTTGAGTTGGTACTGTCGCAGCTAGTCTGGATGTCATGGCTGTCGCCTTCTGTGGCAGAGTCCTACCTTGCCTGGCTTGTCCTTGAACTCTAGCAGCAGGCATTGACTTGCACAGTCCAGAGACAGGGAGGAACTCTGGAGGAGGGCTTCTAGGACCAACCATGATGGTAGTGATGGGGTCACAGAGGTCTAGAAATCCATATCAGTAACTAGAGTACTCCATCTGTCCTGCATTTCCTAGCTTAGCAGAGCCAAGTTCTAGTTAGAGCTATCTCTTTGGCCTGAGACTGGAATCAAGAGAGTGAAGATGAGCAGGTATATCTGTGAACACAAAGCCCACACCAGAGAGCCCTCCTAGATTCTTCATCTCTTTCCACTGTGAGTTGACATCCTTCAGTGGCTTGCCAGACTCTCATCCACCATAAAAGACCACTGACACCCTGACTGCCAGCCCACAGTGGGAATGCCAGAAATCCTCCATGTTGTCTTCCCCCAGGAGGCCAGTCAGCTGTAGAGCTCCCCAGGGGAGTACAGGTGTGCTCCTCAGCTACTAGGGCCATGGACAGCTTTGCTCTGTGTACAAGAAAGCAGTCCCCAAAGGAGACAATGCCACAGGTGCCCATCAGTACTTGAGTTCTTACTTATGTGGCTCCTACCCATGGGCAGGCTTGTGAGCATAGGATCTGCTGGGAAGGCTCAGTTCACTGGATGTAGAAACAGGCTCTTTTCTAGGAATAAGTAGGTGTCACTACAACATGGGACTAGGGGGTAGTCATGGTCAACATGTGACTTTCTACTGGCTGCCAGGGGTCACACACCAGGCAACAAGACAGTATCTCCAAGGGCATCCTGGGGTCTAGAATATTCAGTGTAGCTTCTGCCTCTCTTTGAATTTATCACAACCCAGGTGTATTCCTAAGGTTGTAAAGACTGTTGTTTTCTCAGATGTGGAGAGGATATGGAGGACTGGAGCACTTCCCTGAAAGCTGGCTGGATGATGGTCTCATTTCTGTTTTTGGACTCCTTATTCATCTTTAGATTTATATGGTTGTGGCTGCTGGGGATACTTCAGGATGCATTTTTTCCTCTCTCTCTAGGATTTTCTGGCCCACATTAGGAGAAGATGGATGAGGGTGAATAACCAGAGAGCGTCAATGAGGGAGGAGGGGATTTGAGTTCTGGGATCAACTTTGCTTCTTAGCTTGAGTGTCCTAACACATCTCTTGTCCTGATGGCTCTCACTTTTGTGATCTATATAATGGGTAGGTTGACCTCAGTTATTACCAGGCTTTGTAGTAGGACTTTCTTGTTGGACTTTCCAAATAATGACATGGAGACTTTTGATTAATCACAAAAGCTTAGGCTTAACTTAGGCTTTCCCCCAACTAGCTCTTAAAACATAAATTAACCCATTCATATTCATCTAAATTCTGCACGTAGCTCATTATCTTTCCTCCCTCTGCATCTTGCTGTCAAATCCTAGATTCATCCTGAGTTCACCTCTCTCCCTGGAAGTCTTGCCTATTGTCTCTTGCCTACCTATTGGCCATTCAGCTCTTTATTAAACCAATCAGAAGGCGCCTTGGCAAAGACACAAGTTCACAGTGTACAAAAAGATTATCCCACAAGGCTTTCTTTCCAGAGCTGTCATCTCAGGTTATTCTGCTCTCGTCTTTTTGTTGTCTTCGCCAGTATTTCAATGGGGGATGTCCCACCAGCCTGAACAATACCCATTCTTTTTTAACACAGCCCATCATTGTTCTCTCCAAAGCCCTTCCATATGCACCACAACTTTCATTTATTCTTTGCATTGGGGACCATCATCTCATTTAGTCCTTAGTTTTATATGGTCTTGCCACCCCCCACCCACCAGTATCTTCCTGAAGTTGTCGCTGTGGTTGTCCCCACATAGAAATCTCTTCTTCTCACAGTCTTTCTACATTTCCTATACAACCACCCATATGTAGTTCCCACAGAGAGATGGCTCTGCCGAGACCAGAGTCTGGGGAGCAGATCCTTAAGCAATCCATCCTTCCGAGCTGCAGCATTCCTCCTAAGCACCAGCCTCTCTTCAGTGGTGACATTGGCATCTTGTTTCCACATTTTATAAAAGAAGGGCCTTTGGTTGGGTGCCCATGTGACAGTACAGGCTGCCCAGAGCTGTGCACTTCCCTGAACAGATGGGGGTGTCCTTTGTCCAGCCTGGGTCTGGCGTTCTGCCCCCGGTGAACGGTTACTCCGTGGTGAGCTGCACCTGCTCTCCTTTTCAGTTAGTTACCTCCTGTGGATGCAAGGCTGACACAGGAATGCTCCATCTCTGAGAGGTTGCTTTAGGATTAAGTAATAAACAGTGCTCAAGCTTCTCAGATTCCTGTGTTGTGGAACTACATTCCTAGCCATTCCCTAAGAGCCAGGAAAGGGCTCTACCAGTGAGGGAGAAGGGACTCTTCAGGAAGTAAACGCTAAAACTGGGCCAATTCAGAGATGCTTATGGCCTTGGAGTGCACACCAGTCCTCGAGGAATGTGCTTTCCAGGAGGAGGCAGTGACCGTGACTGGAGATGTTGTCAGCGTAGCATGGATGAGGCCATGGGTGCCCACCAGGACCTGCCCAGAGCTGCTGCAGAGCTCATGGCTTCTGTATCACAAGTGTTTTGATTACAGTGAAATTACCGTAATTTCCGTGTTTGCTTCCTTTGAAATCTGCATTTGGCCAGGTGATTGCCCTAGGATTCTTTGCTTTTCTCACTGGCTTCAGCCCTTCCGTGTGCCCCTGGGGTGGTGAGCAATGGAGCAAGAATCTGCATATGAGCCACTCTAGTCAGAGAGGAATCATGCTGGAAGGAGCTTGGGGTACTGGCCTCAGCATCAAGTCAAAGTACCATTGCTACTTCACCACTGGCTCACTGAGTGAGCTTGGGTGCCTGTTGTTCACCTTTTATTTGTTGCAGGGAGGTCTCATGTAGCCCAGGCTGGCCTCAAACTTGCTGTGTAGCTGAGGCTAGCTGTGAACTCATGGTCTTCTTGCCCCCACCTTTCAGGTTTTGGAATTACATGTATATGCCACTATGCCTGACTCGTCTATTTTATTTTACTTTTTAAATATATTGTATGTGTATGAATGTTTTTGCCTGTGTGTATATCTGTGCATTGTGTACATGTATGCAGTGCCTGTAGAGGACAGAAGATGTCAGATCCCCTGGAACTAGAGTTAAAGATGGTTCTGAGCTGTTGTGTGGGTGCTGGGAATTGAACCTGGGTCAGTGCTCTTAACCACTAAGTCACCTCTCCAGCTCCTTGTTTTTAATATTTCTAAGACACTAGTTCTTCTAAAACTGGGAGTTCTAATAACCATTAGTGGGTAGATCGGCCTTGAGGCTGACAAAAGTCTTCCCTGGGGAAATGGAGCAGAGGCTTCTAGAGCATCAGGACCCCTGTGGCCTATGTCTACTCTACACCCCTTGGCTTAGGACCATGTTCCAAGGCTTGCAGAGTCACTGCTAAGGTTTCTAGACACTCAGACTCTCGGGTTGTTAGCAGTCAGTTCCCACTTCTAGGCTTTGGTTTTGCCATTGTTTATGGGCGAGGGAAGGAAGTAGCGTCTTGTGGAGGTCACAGTGTGATGCGGGCAGCCATGGGCAGAATGGCCTGCTGCACACTCATGCTCTGCTCTGTCCTGAGCAGCTGGAGTCTCATCTGTTGTAACTTTGGCTCTTCTCTGTTATAGAAAAGTCATACAGAATGTCAATTAAGGATTCGTTTCTGCATCACAAAGGCAAACAGAACAAGGAACAAGTGAATCAGTTTTTCTTATATCCTAAATTGTGATTTCTCTGTAAACCAACCTAGAGAATGGCTATTGCTTCCTGAACACTGAGTGTCAAATGACAAATCCTGCACCTTTGACAGAGGCCCAAAAGGCCAAGTGCTGGTCTCTGTCCTCCAGCTCCTGTGGTGCCCTGCAGCTAAGCAGGCAAAAAAGGGTGGCCAGGGGCCACGTGGGTGGGTGAGGCACCCCAGTGTTCTACAGTGGACATGTATATTACTTCACCCATCCATTGCTGTCCACACCCAGGACCCACCCCAGGTCTCTCTCTTTCAAGTAGTTTTCCAGAGGTTTACAGGATGTATGTATCCAGGCCTGAGATGATAGTATCGTTTATCCCTCTTGTCTGTATGCCTTTGACACTTGTGCCAAATCACCTGGATGCCTTAGCTTTACACAGGGAATCCATGACACTTTGGGAGTAAAACATAGTCAGCAGTTAGATGGGTATATGGATTCCTTACAGAGTGGATTCCACAGTTATAGAGGGCTTCTGGTTGCTGAAAGTTACTTTGCGTCATTCAACAACTGCAGCAACAATCCAGTAGCCTTCTGTGTTCTTTACTTCCTGTTAGGTGCCAGGTCTCCCCGAAGTGGGCCTGTATCTGTCATTTTTATTTTTTGAAGGTCATTATGCATCCCAGACCATCCCAGATCCCAATTCCCCTCCCCAAGCCTCCCAAGTAGCTGCATTACAGAGGCATGGTAGCACCTAGTCTTACTGCCCTTTTTTGAAATTACCCCTCCAGAGATCCTGCGGATCATTCAGCTGGACCTTGACCTGAAGTATAAGACCAACATCAGAGAGCTGTTTGAGGAGTTTGACAACTTCCTGCCAGGTGCTGTTATCGGCATAGCCAGAGAGATGCAGCCTGTGTACAGGTAGGTGCTGGCTGTTGGAGGTTACCTGAAGACCCCTCCCATCCATCCTGCCTTTCTTCTGTCACTCATGGCTGCCTGGGTGCCGCAGCATGTGGTCTTTCTGTACTTGGAAGCCTGTTTGCACCTTCGGCTGACAGGTGATGGCACTGGCGGGGAGGGGGACTGTGCCAGAGCTGGAGAGGCTGCCTCCTTAGAGTGGGAGATTCTGGGATTTTTTTATCCTCTGGAAAGCCCAGTTGTTCTGGTTGTTGGCTCTGGTTAAGCTCACAGAGTTAAAAATCAATCCTAGGCTTCGTCTGACAGCAGTGTCAGGATTTCCCCTCCAGCCTGGTGAGCTGGGTTTTCATTGACCTCATGTCACCCTGATGCTCTCACACCTAAGGAGAGTGGGTGGTCAGTGGTGGTCAGCAGCAGCTTGGGGCACTGGTCAGGGTAAACAGGCACTCTCTTCCCAAGGCAACACTTTCTTATCAAGTGTGTATCACAGAGAAGCTCATGTACCTGAAGCCAGGAGACAAGCTCAAGAGTGTTCTCTGCATGCTTGGATTTTCTTGACAGCAGAATGGTTAAATAACATGTATCTACCCAATTGTGTATTAGATAGCAGTTAAAAAAAAAAAAAAGAACACGCGGTAGCAGTATATCACGCGGTATATGATGATAGGCAAAACAAAACGGCAGGCTTTACTGAGGCAAACACAAGTGCTAAAAGTCACAGGAGAAACCAAGGAGACACTCTCCAGAGCAGGTCTTGGGGACAAAGTGGGCTGGTGTAGTGGTGCTTTTATTCCTCCTCCACCCCCACCCCCACCCACACCGCCTGCCGTGGTGGTTATGCCCACGTTGCACATACATCGTGTTTAAAGAGGGAGGAGAGGTAAGAACAGCAGAAGCAGGTTTGGGTTCAGAGGAAGTCTCACAGCTGAGGTTCTGTGTTGTTGTCTCACATCCCCCTCCCCCACCTCTGACTGACAGCCTCCCCCAAAGCCAGCTCTGATCAAGTTTGCTCTGGAAAAACCTAGAATTCTTCTTCCCTGGTTTCCCGGGGCCCTTTGTTCTGTGCCTTGTGCTGGCTCAATTACCGGAAGAGCTAGAAGTCATCAGAGAGCTGCTGGCCCTGGCACCTAGTGACTCAGAGCGTGAGTTTTCCTCCACAGAAGGAGGGAGAGACAGGCTGGATTTAGTGGTGGCTCTTGCATGTCTCACATCACATAACAGGAAATTCCTGAGGCCTCAAATGAACTAATAAGAACTCCTGGGGCTTTGTGTGCTGTCCCCCTTATATAATGCTGACTCAGGTTCCCCAGAGACAAACCTGCCATGTTGACCACAGAAGGATGCCCTTAAGGCAGGTGAAGAAACATTAAATGTGAAGTCCTGGGTTCCAGTCCTGAGGCCTTGATGCCCCTTTAAAAAGGGAGCAGAGGTCTTTCCCTCCAGCTTTGGTGCTCACAGCTCCTCCACCCTGCTTGGCCTCCTGCAATTGTATGCAGTGAACCCCCTACTGCTCAGATCCAGGCCCTAGTGTTCTGGTGGAAGCTTCACCCCAAGCTCCCCTCCCCCAGAGATGCTCAAGACCACTCCCACAGATTATTTAAATTGCCCCCCAGAAAACAGAGGTATGGTTTCCCCAGCTCTCTTTTTCCCTCTCCTCCCTGGGGGACTGGAAAATCTTCTGGGAGCATTGTATACATTAAACATGGTTTTTTTACTAATTTGGTTTGATTTGATCTGATTTGGATTGCTGCATCGACAGAGAGGCTTATCGGGGTACAGAAACTTCTTACCTAGGACATTTAGATTGGCTGTTTGTTAGAGTGTTGCATCAGCAACACCTGCAAGATAAGGTTGGAGTTTCTCTTTGTAGTACATTAAAACCCCATCACATTTGTTACAATAATCTTGGGCAGTTTTTGTTTTCTGCAGAACTAGGCTTTTATAATGGTAGAACTTAAATCATTCTAATTATCTGGCCTTCCCAAAAGCAACACCCGAAAGGTAGTAGATTCAAATTAAGTTTCCCTTACTTTCTGCATCTTAATCATTATGTCCAGTGAGGACAATGAGAACCTTCTACTGGCAGAGTCTTAAGAAAGCCACTCAGTCAAAAGACATTGACTGACCCTTAGCTGTAAAGGTCACTAAATCAAGGCAGCAATTGAGTGTCCCCATACTACAATGTCCAGGGATCACCTGTTACAGTGTGTGCCTTCAGTATTTCCTGGGCCTGAGAATGGTTTGGCTGGTGGCAGACGAGGAATATTGCATATATGTGTGTATGCACACTGCCTTCATCCATATGGAAACTGAGCGGTCAGGGACCTGAAAGATCAATGTTAGTTGTCCCCTGCTTAGTATTCAGCCAGCTGGGAACCAGGGAAGGGGGCTGGAGGATGAGTGATGGGAGGAAAAGGTAGGAAAAAGAGAACAGCCTAGTTAATGGTAGTGACTTAAGTACAGGTGAAGCTGGGCCCTTCTTCTAAGTAGACATTGGGCCTCTGCTCCTTAGACATTGGCAACAGTTTATGGGAGACCCACAGCCCAGGCATCAGCCCTGTCCACCTGTAGGGGTCCTCCCCTAGCAACTGGTACTCAGAGACCTCCCCATGTGGCCTGATGTGACATGGACAAATTACTTATTATAAGTAGAATCTGATAGCGTCCACAAGAAGAAAGAAACAGAAAACAAAACACTGTAGCACTGGGTCCAATATGACTGGTTCTGGAAATTCACTGAGCAGGAATGGGCTCCAGCCCCCCAGCTGTGTGAGTTTTATAGTCACTTGTCTCGCAGTTACTGTACTTCAAAGGGCACACAGCAAGTCATTTTTTATGGTGGCTTCCCCTCTATTGTGAGTGGTGAAATGTCTCAGGCTTGCAGGAGGGTGGGGAGAAGTGTTTCCCACCATGCATTTGACGAATGGCTTTTTCACATTTTTTTCCCTACCAACACATCAAACCGACTGCTTTCTGGACAGTGCTGCAGGGTCAAGCAATGTTGGAGTATAAAGACAGGATGCTTTCCTTTCTGGGTCTCTGGTACAGTTTGGTCGAGTCAAACTTTCTTCGTCTGAAAATCAAGGGCCTGGTTGACTTGGGTAGAATGTTGCCCTTTTCTCCTTAGTGGTTGACAGAAAGCAGGAGCCTGAGTGGCAGCAGTGGGTTAAGGTCACTTTATCCTGGAGCTGGCTGCCTGAGGAGCCTCTGAATGGCAGATTTGTTGGTAGGGGCTACAACTTCCAGTTGTACAACTTCACCAGCTCTACAGACCACTGACCTGGAATGGGCCCAGACACACCATGAGGCCATGGCCAGAGCAGCCGGGGGTCCTGCACCAGAGCCAGGAATTTGCTTTTGTGTCAGTCTTTCAGTGTCCACTTCTTCGGCAGCCCTGTGCCAGCCTTGTCTCCTTTCAGATGCTTGGATGAGCATGTCCGGCTACCTTCTCTGCACTTGCTTCATTCCATTCCTGAAACTGGTACAGCGCTCTCAGGCATGCTGGGTAGGAAGGGAGGGTGTGGACAGATCCCACTGCTGCTGCTCTACAGTCATGTGATCTTGAGAATTAGATAATGTCTCTGAGGTTAGTTTCTGTAGCTGAGAAGAGGAGATGATAACTCTGTTCTCATCAGAGCTGATGGGGATTAAGTTAGATGGTTATTTATAGTTCCTGGCAGGAGCAGTGTTACCCTGAGTCCTAGCTCAGCCACTGATGAATGCCATGGTGCAAGGGGAGTCACTTAGCCCCCAGGCCTGTGTTTCCTTGTATGTGAAGTAGGGCTGAGGTAGTGTTAGTAATGCCTGGCCTCTGTGTTTGAGGAAGTGCTTACCTGCCATGCAAGCCTCTCATGGGGAGACTGAGAAACTATAAATTCCAGTTTCCTTGTTACTGAGATCCTGTAGACCCATGTTCTCCCCTCCCCTAAAGAAATCACTCTCGTCATCAGTTCAGCATCTGTACACACACCAGATTGACCTCTTACTGCACACTTTAAACAAGGTGGCGGATTTGCAGAACAAAAGCTGACCATGTTACAGGAGGCAAGGATCCATCTACAGAGACAGGAAAGGTTTAGTATCCCAAAAGAGTATTGGAAACCCAGAGGGTAGCAGAGAAGGAGGTGTCCTGTATAGTCTCTGTGAAGGGGACCTAGAAAAAGGAAAGGGACAAGCGACCACTCCAGCGGGTGGCAGCCCCTGCCTCCATTCACCAGCCTGCCATCTGCTGCCTGTGCCTGCCTGTTTGGCCCTGTTTTCCTCTAGTGGATAAGCTGGCTGCTCTGCTTGCTTCCAGAGCTCAGACCATGGCTCTAGCCCTTATTCCATCTCTGGCCCTTGGAGAGGTTAGTTTCAGGTTTGTGCCCTACTGTGTCTTTCTTCTGGACTAAATATGTAGAATAAGTATGTGTTAATGTGGTGTGGAGGTGCATGTCTTTTATCTCAGTACTTGGAAGGCTAAGGCAGGAGGATTTGGAGTCCATTTTTGGTCTAGGCTACAAAGCAAATTTGAGGTCAGTTTGGGATGTGTAGACAGATCCTAGTCAAGCCAACCAAACAACAGACAAGCAAAAGGGAATTATTAAAAAGAAATAAAATATATTTTCATTACTTACACAAGGATTGTGTTGTTGTTTATTTAATCTGTAAATTTATCATTGTGTAAATGAACTTTCTGCCCCTCCCCCCTTTTTGAGACAGAGTCTTGAGGAAACCAAGGCTAGCCTCAAAATTACAATCCCTCTGCTTCAACCTCTCCAATGCTGTCATTACAGATATGCACAGCCAAGCCCGACAACCCCTTCTTACATTCTTGTGAGTTTGGTTGTGTCCACTCAACGATATGCTGTGAGCACCTTGTGCCCGACTCAGCCTTCATTTGTTAACACTTTTTAGTAAGCTGAGCTTTCAACACTTACAAACACTGACTGCATTCTAGTGCTCTGGCTACTCCATCAGAGTTTCTCTCCATCAGAGTTTCAGGCATGATGGACTGCAGCTGA